AGGCTGTAAATCTTTACGGGAGCAGAAAGCCTCATCTTTCTCCCACAGAGCAGCTGGTAGTTTCGAACTGCTGACCTTGAGGTTCGTAGCCCAATTCGTAACCACTATGCTGCCAGAGCTACATCTCTCTCTCTGTATATATCTGTGTATATATATATCCTAAACCAAATATATTCAATCTGAACCTAACTCTGCAATGAGGTCTACAATAACAGATCTCACTTTTTTCTTCCTTTAATTTTATATAGAAACTTGAGAAGAATGAAAGAATGTCATTAAATGATTCATAAATTACATGAAAACATACTTAGGAAGATAAGTTTACATTTTAAAGTGATCATAATAGATAACAACTAAAATATTTTACAGGAAGATAATAATCATGTTAGAAAGAATGTAACAGTGATGACAACATTCTAAAAAGAGATACACCTTTATGAAATATCATCAGTATCTCAGTTAATAGATAAGAAATGAGTTCCATAAGTAGATATATTCCAAAGAGTCCCTAAAAAGTCAGTGCTATTATTGTTGTGTTTGTGTGGGGCTGAGTTGAATTCAATGCATAATGACCCTGATGGGACAAAGCAGAATCACCCCCTGTGGTTTGCTAGACTAAAATATCTACTAGAGCAGATCTCCAGGTCTTTTCTCCTGAAGAATCACTGCTGAGTTACAATTACTGACTTTGGTTAGCAGCTGGATGCTTTAACCACAGAATCACCATTATTTGAAGAGCTCTTTAAATAATATCTCATATATTTGCTAATGAAAATATATGAAAGATTTTGTTCATTAAATAAATTTAATGAATGATCATTAGATTTTAAAAAATAAACAAATCCTTCATTTACTTCCTTTAGAAAAAAGCTGTTATAGAAGCCCCATCTTTAAGAGGTTTGAGTCAGCATTGACTTGATGGCACTTAAAAACATCTAGAGATAGGATGGTTTATGAAAGAGTTTCTGGAACTCATGGGTCAGCAGTACTAGGGCCTCCATAGAGTTTTTGAAGAATCATGAAAACTAGACTGATAGATAAGTCTCAGTTATTTGAGAGACTTCAGTGCCTAGACTATAAATTAGACTGAGCCCATTTACTTCACTGTCTGAGCTTCCTGCCTTGCAGCCTTCAACCTCTCGAGGAGATGAGCAGGACTGTGAAGTGTGGGAATGGCAGAGGATTGAATTGAGCCCTACTAAGTGCTCTCCATGTTCTATCATTAAACCTATGCGAATGAGTGGAATTTAATAGTAAACGAGTCCTGGTGTGATACTGTAGGATAAATGCAGGACCCTGAGGTTGGTTTGAACCACAAGGTCAGCAATTCAAACTCACCAGTCACTCCTTGGAAACCCTATACTGGGTCACTGTGGGTCAGAAATGACTCGATGGCACTTAACAACAAAAACAAAATTTGAAATAATGTCATTTGCTAATTTTTAACTATAAAAATCACTTTATTTTATATACACTTTTTATTGTGACTTGAGTGAAGGTTTACAGATAAGTTTTACTTTCAACATTTTGTTTCTCACTTTTTCAGTTTGAAGAGTCACTAAATATGAATGATTAAATAGGTATAAGCACTGTACTGTTAATGTTGAGGACTCCTGGTGTAGTGCTGTAGGATCAACACTGGACTGGGAGTCACAGGGTCGGAAGTTCAAACCCACCAGCTGCTTCTTGGAAACCCTATACAGGGTCACTATGAGTCGGAACTGATTCAATGGCACTTAACTTAATATGTTTTTCTTTCCTCAGGTTCAATAGGACATCTTATGATAAGTGATCCACTGTGCTCCCTAGAAAGGTGGCAAGAACTGGCAAATATATGTTTACAGCATGGCTTTGACAAATTGTCTAATGAGATCATGTCCTTTCTTCGATCTCAGGCTGGAGTTACAGAAATTTCTGAAGAGGAGGATACTGTCAACTTAATGGAACATGTTTTGTGGTAGTTCCATATGTTAACCAGTTGAGGGAGCTTGTACACCATTTTGTGTATGTGCTTAGGCAAACTGATCTTGACATAACTCATTTATAAATAAACCTATCGTATGAAGCCCTCAGAAGCAAATCACAGCTCCTTTGTTACAATGATGACATTTAGATTTGCCTATGATACATTTAGATCATTGCTTCTTCTACTTTTTAAAATACGAATATTGATAATAAATAAAATGTCATGTAATACTCACTGTAGGCATTTTTTAGATAAAGGCTGATGTCCAGATACGTCCTGGTGTGGCGCTGTGGTTTAATGTGTTAGACTGCAAAATAGGTTTGAACCACAAAGTTGGCAGTTCAAGCTCACCAG